TCTTCTCCAGGTTACCATGGTGAAGCGCAGGGATGAGCTCCATCGCTGCTCCGGCGTTCCCACGCTCCGGGATGGACGGAGGTGAGATGCGTCGTCCGGCTGTCGGATCTGATCATCGCTGCTTTCATCTCCTCTCACACGCAGCGCAGCATGACAGAGGCTGATTAAAGCCATGTGAGGTCAACACACACGCTCTGACGCCGATTTAACTCGATTACGTCCCGTCTGATGTTTTAACGTTCGAGTCAGCGTGGGCCGCCGAGGCCAGGAAGCTCCTGCTGGTCAACAGTAAGGTGATGACATCACAGCTGGTCTGGCGGTAAAAGTGATTTATTATAAAATAAAAATAATTACCACTTATATTAATGAGCACTTGATGTTTCACGGCTCGGGGTGAACGCCGTCGGTGTGACTCGTGAAGACGTTACAGTCATCCAGAGTTCACCGTCTTCAGTCAGGTCACCTCCTTAACTGGGATTTAATCTAATTATAATTATTAGCTGTTTGTTTCATCATCAAACACTTATTAGCTACAACGGTTCACCCCGGCGGTCTCCGGGTCACCAAAACTCTTAGAATTAAGGGTCGAAACCTGATTCTCGTACAGCTCTGGTCAGACGTGAAGATGCCGACTCGTCCCGGCTCATCTTCGAGTTAAATAAAAAATAAAACTAAATTTCCTTGAAAACTAATATTCTGGAAACTAAACTTTTCCCACAGGGAAGGTCAGTCCCCGGAAGTGTGGATCCTTCAAGCGACACACTGATTTTAGATTCAACTGGTGTGACAGCAGGCAGAGGGGCTGTCCGGCAGTCGGAGGGTTGCTGGTTCGATCCCGGCTCCGACCAAAGAATGCTGCTGTTGTGTCCTTGGGCAAGACACTTAACCCACCTTGCCTGCTGGTGGTGGTCGGAGGGACCGGTGGCGCCAGTGCTCGGCAGCCTCGCCTCCGTCAGCGCGCCCCAGGGCAGCTGTGGCTACATCGTAGCTCATCACCACCAGTGTGTGAATGGGTGAATGACTGATTTTGTTGTGAAGCACCTTGGGGGGGTAGTAGAACCCAGAGTACAGGCCATTTACCACATTTTAATCTACAAAGACCCGCCGTGGTTCCTGATCCCGACTGAACCACACGAGGTAAACGATCCTTCGGAACCAGCTGATGTGAGTCGCTTTGTTCGTTTTTATCAGTCAGCTGCTAAACATTCAAGCTGGTGAAAGAAACTCTAGTTCTAAAGTTTAACAGTTCAGGGAAGAATTTCGACATTCGTCTGAACACAGCTGCTGGAGACGGGCGGGTTTCCAGGGATTATCCAGGTCCCATGAAACAAGGTGGGATTAGTGGCTTAGTGATGCAAGTTCAGGTTCAGCTCTGGGTTTTTCGCGTGGTTCTGACCCGTGAGTACCGGCCCACTACTGAGACACACGAGGCAACACGTCTGATGTTCGGACTCTAAAACAACTGAGTTTACATCCGAGTCACTGAATAATCAGACCGGAGCGACCCCGGAAAACCGGCATG